ATGTGCATGTATGTGTCCTGGAGGATATTAAATATTAAATATTAACTTTATTTATTTAAGAACAATTATGAAAAAAGTTATTTCAACTTATATTAATCACTCTTGTTAGCCCGGATGTTAGCTAAAGGGGGGTCTTAGTGTGGGAGGAAACCGGAGTACCTGGAAAAAACCCACGTGGTGGGGAGGTGACCCCAACCTTTTCACGTTTGATTGGGGAATCGAACCCCGGCCGCCTTGGTGAAAGACAAGTGCACTATGTACTACACCACCGGACCACCCTACTGGAGGATATAAGTTGATGTATATGCCTCCTTGTGATAATGTGGATCTGACGCCGACTTTAAGAGTGCTACCTCACTTATATACTATACTGAAGGCCCCCGGCCAGCACTGTATTCCAACTCTGTCGTACCTACTTTATAAATGTCGATAACTTTGTGTGGTGTCAGACTTCACATTGTACACTTAGTCTGCACGGATCAGGTACCCCTGATACATACCTGTAAATACAGAAGCTAGCTTATCTAAAATGTATCCCAAGTTCATTAATAATTCATCCGATACATTATACAGGTAAATCTATAAATACCTGAAGCTGCACTTTTACCTGTGCTTGAAAGCTCCTAGATCAGTTCTTGATTGGTTGTAAGATGTTACATAAAGTGTTTTGTTAACTTTTAAAAGTCTTGGTACTAAATAGATGTTAATATGGAAATTTGAATAATCTATCTTGATTATTGGTAGACAAGTCAACTCCATTTTAAATCCTGCCCGAGTCCTTTTAACCCTTTCACCACTGTAGACCATATTGGACTCATCCAAATAAATGTATGGTAGAGTCTACTAAAGTTACCTAGTGTTGAAAGGGTTAAAAGACGGGTAAAGTTGAATTATAACGGTTGCTGATCCAAGATAAAAACATGAATTTTCCTATAGGTGAACACCAAGTTTCTTATTTGGTCAAATACGGTATATGGTTTGTTAATGATATATTTATTAATTGTCCTAGTTAAACATTGGTAATTTTATTTGATTAAACTGCACATAGGGTATGTTACAGTGGTGGTTCAAGATTTTTTTGGGGGGCTTCAGAAAAAAAATAAAAAAATGAGAATATTCTTTAAAAATGATGTATTTTCACTATTTTCCTCAATTTTCCTCCACATGGAACCCCCNTTGTTATCTGCTGTTAGCTTCCTTCATGGGGCAAAATATTTTTCTAAAAAATTTGTTGATTGCATTCAAAGTTCTATTTCTTCTTTTTTTTACTTATGAAAAATGTTGCCTTAAAAAAAGAAAAACAAATGGAAACAAGAAATTGATCAAACAAAATGTATGGAATACTTTCTATTTTACCACTGACCAAGCATTGTTTAAATGGCATAACAGACATTTGACTAAGATAATTAAAATGTATGATTTAATGTTAGCCATCTGTTGGTTTACATTGTCACCTGACATGGTGAGAGGTATCTGTTGAGATGTTTTTATAAGTGCGGAGTAGGGGACAATGTCACACCTGATGTTCCTTTTGTCTTGGCTAACAAGTGCTCAGATATACCTGTAATTAAGAAAAAGGTGATCTAGCTAAGATAGTAACTCAGTGTCAACCAGCTGGTGTCCAGACTTAAGGCTGAGTGGCTCCAGGGGTCAAAGTTTACATGTATATATATATATTTGAAATTATTTACAGTATATTTATATCAAAACTTCAGTACAAACACACGTGGTACTACGTGTCGACTACCTGTACATATCAGACAGATAAATATTGGGTGAGGCACGATGACCTAATACAGAGTTTTTCTTTGCGTATCGGAGAGGTCGAAGACTTGTCGTAACTAGGAAACAGGTAGGAATACTTATCACCAACGCCGGAGATCATTTTGATTGTAAAAACGTTTATCATTGCATTAGTGACCGTTTTGTGGCTTCGCGATTCCCCCCGGAAGGTTTGGTAGGTATAACATGTGGTATTTTATCAAACGTACCTATCAGCTGATGAATGTAAGCAGTGTTATACAAGATTAGTTAAGTAAATAAACATTTTTTCCTGTTTAACTGTATTCAAGGACAGAATTCACCTGTGTGTGCATGTAATTAGAAACTGCACACCTGCAGCAATGTTGACGCAAGGTAAACATGAAGGTGCATACAAATATACTGCAGCCTATCTTTATTCCTGTACCTTAATATACAGTATAAACATCAAACTTTGTTATACTGCCATCAACCTATCTTAACACAGCTGTATACCTTAATATACATTATAAACATTAAACCTTGTTATACTGCCATCAACCTATCTTAACACAGCTGTACCTTAATATACATTATAAACATTAAACCTTGTTATACTGCCACATTATAAACATTAAACCTTGTTATACTGCCACCAATCATCTAGCAAATTGAAGGCAATTATTATAAAGGGATTTGACAATTCATTGAAAAAGGGATTATGAAAAAACTCAAGTGGGACCTTGAAGTTTGTTTCAGGGAAGCAAGGTGGCAAATGAAACGAAGAGTATTCTGTAATAAATATGTTCAGGTTTTCACTGTACCTAGATGCTGCGACAAAACAGAGTTTTATTTCAATTCTTAACTTAACTTCCTAAACTTATAGAGTCCCAGCACTTTGAGTTGTATCTGCAACGTTAACGAAGAAGTCTATTTGTGCAGTTTTGATCAGAGTTTCTAAACCATGTTTGCTAGACCAAAGTCTTATATAAACAAAAGAAATATGTATACATATTATAAATTATTATTTATTTTTTCAAAAGATCTCTTTAGAAATATAAACATTTCCATATTTTGTCTGATGCAGTTCAATTTGAATCCTAGAACAAGCAAACTTAATTTGTTCCAAGTTCTCATTCAGACAAAATCACGATTTCAAATTTCATATGGACCCATATTACGCCCGTTGGTGCCGTTAAAAGAGAAAACTGCCAATAATGCTATTGTTTCCTCTAATATACTTTCTGTTTTGACAGTTACTCAGTATTTATTGAATAAAAATGGAGATTGCCATTTTGAATTTTCAAATGAAAAGTTTAGAAAAAATATTTATTACATGTATTTCAAAATATCAATCATAATTTAATAGTAGCATTTTGGCCTCATGATATTATTGATATTCAAACTGATACAGAAACTGATATTTAAATCATTCTGTCATTTGGTATCCTTTTATAATCTGTGCAAAAATTATATAACTGCATATATAAATGTATACATGTGTATTTTGACTATTTCATGAAGATGGATGGAGGTACTAACTGATGGGGAGGGGTTTTGATGTGCATTTACATGTAGCCACTTACGACATTAAATTGGGGCAAAACTTTGAGGATGCAGGATTTGATATATAAACTGTTTTGTAGTGTTTAGCATACAAACTGCTTAAGGTATACATTATCCAGTGGAGTGGAAGTGCTCAGGCGACTTCGTATCCAAATGTATTGTTAGCTTGAAATGCTTGAAATGGATTTTATAAAGTCTATATGTATAAAACAAGCTTACCAGTCTGATATTGCAAGTAATTGAATATTCAGAATGCTGTTAATCTAGATTAAGAAACCTGGTAATTTTACGATTCACAATCATGAATGGGTCAAATCCTCTCAAATGTTAGAACAAATAAAAAATTTTGAACAGCATATTTACACTGTCATGAAGTAATTATCTATTGTAAGGATTTTAAATGTATACAAATATAGCATCATTTTCTACTATAAAAACACCTGTTTACCACAAAATCATGTGTATTAAAACTGAAACGTTTATTTCACATGTATTCAAAACATTATTGTAGATAAGCCCTCCATTAAATTCTGGTTTCAGAAAAGAAAATGCCAACTTAAATTTTCTGAATGACGTCACTGAAACTTATATACATAAATGTTGATAACGACATTTCAGAGTTTAAGTAATTACGTGTAAATAAAGGTTTTAGGTTATCAGTCTTAAATTAAATTTGGTAGCTGTACTGAGGCCTGTCTTGAAACTGAACCTTAAAGATCCTATTTTCTGGTCATATTAGCCAGGTGACGGGGTCAATTAATATAATAAAGACAAGTTTGGATAGCTAGCTTATGGAGCAGACCTCAGGTCTACAAACCTTATATAAGGAAAACGTTATAGTGACGTTATGGAAAATTGTCCTAACTGAAAAGATTGAGTTTCCACAGCTCCAATAATATTTTCCTATGGAAAAACATAATTTACTTTAGGAATGTTTTAAAATGGGACCAGGTCTGAATTACAAAGGTTTCAGATTATTGAAGATTTGAGTAAGACACAACTCATAATGATAAAGGATGCTCAACACTTGAGAACGGTTACAACTCATATTCTTTGAAGATGAGCAAAACTTCTAATCTACAAACAATAATATGTTGATGTAATGGTTTCCGTACCTGTAACGTTCGTTACATATTTGTCAGCCAGTTGTAAGTTGACTGTACCTGTAACAGTTGGGGTATTGTTTATTGTGAGGGTGTGTGAATTAACACTATTTCTCTTATCTCGGAAGTGTGTGCTTCTGTAATGCCTCCTGAAGTGCCTTGTTTAGCTTTGTATAGGAATTATATCTTAATCTGTACAACTATCTGGGGAATCAAGGGGAACAACTCTTCAGGTGTTAGCTAGTTCATTATCCTCACATATTAACATCATATGATACTGAATTTCTTAAATTCTTTGTTCGTCGGCAACAATCTGATTGCAATTTCAGGTTAATAATTTGTAATATTTATGTTTTTGAAAGTTTTGCAAACTGTCACAATAAATTAAAGTGTGATAGCATGGTCAGGTAATTTTGTTTCATTCGTTGTTGTATATATCTTTTCCAACTTTCTAATTCCCCTAAAATAACCATCTTTGTATATATCATTTTATGTATCTTTTAAGTATCTTGCCTCTATTCATCCATCCTGACTGAACTCTGTAGACTAAGGGGAGATCACTCTAACATTGTGGTGTTTTTTCTATCACAGCAGGGCCATGAGTGCCAAGACAAGTAGGAAGGAGTTTAGCCCGAAGCAGTTCATGAAACAGCCACAGAACAACGGCAATGTGCCCATCACATACCCTCCCGAACCCCCAGACGATGAGAACATGAATGAGATCGTCAGTGATGATGTTGACCTTGCTGTCATTATGCCGGATGGCAAGGTCAAGCACGTCACTGTAAACTCCAAGTAAGTGTATGTTGCAAATTCAAATTCTTCATAATAGCTAAGTGCTCATTCTCTGAGTAAGCTTTTATGATGAGGAAAGTATTAAGTTGTGCTGATTGAAATTATTTTATAATATTGTAAACGAGATGTCAATTGCATAATTTTGCTGGTAAAGTTAATACCTATAAAACTAAATTAATTTTTAGGAAATGTTTATGTCATATGTTTTCAAAATCGAAATGTTTGTTAATATGAATTCATGGCATGTTTGTTTACTTATAAGTTGCTATGTGTATGTTGGCCTGTTGTGCTTGAAATGTTTATATGTATATCTCAGATCATTCATGTTAAATCATTTTAACCTATTTGAGCACCTAATTGGAAATGTGATAACTAATTAGCCGCTCACTTACCGCCTGGCCATTGTTATCTGTGACCCTTTCACCAGCTAATGACTGGAGCAGGCTCTGCCCCCTGGGGGAACCAGCAGGACTAATAGCTAAGATAGATCACTGCAGGTGATTTATACAGCAGACCAGCTCCTGTATCAGTTAGTGATACTGAGTGGTCAGGTATGGGCTGCTAACGGAAGTCTGGTTAGCTTGCAACATACAAAATTACACAGCAGAATGAAGTACTTAAGCTGAACAAACATTCTAACCCAGGTCCGTTCTGAGTAAATGAAACCTTCAAGGGTGTGCTGGAGTGTTAGTTCGTTCAGGTTTAGGTTTTTAGTGGAAGTCTGGTTAGCATACAACATACAAAACATACAAAATTACACAGCGGACTGAGGTACTTAAACTGTGGGTAAATGAAAAAGGGTGTTCTGGAGCAGTAGTATGGTCAGGTATACAAAGGCTTTTAATGGAAGTCTGGTTAGCATACTGCTCACAAATATACACAGCAGACTGAGATACATTAAGTGAACGAAACATCCCATCTTAGGTCTGTTCTGTAGGAGCAGTGTGGTCAACATTCTAACAGGTTACGAATCAAACACTATCATTAAGCTGACTAAACATCATAGCCCCAGAAACCTAAAGCTGCTATCCACAGGAGAAGCTGTGGTCAAGTGTACCAACTAAAAGGCATTGTCAGCTTGCTTCACACTTTAAACCTGACACACATATGATAAATTGACGCAATGAAGTGACTAAACTTTAGAACTGAAAGTCTGTTGCCATCATCAATCAGGCTATGTGTAACATTTGGCCATATGTTGTATGTAAGTTTTTCCAGTGGAAATTAGAGTTTCTGTTATACATAACAATATGTAACTGTTGCTATCACTTAGTGTGAAGGTGTATGTTAGGCCATGCCAAAATTTAAAAGGTTTCCCCTGAACCCCTGAACATGGTTTGTGTTTGGCCAGACTAAGCAGGCCTGTGACAGTGTCATGCTGAACTTTATCCCTTTCTTTGGACATTATTAGAATTAAGGCCAGACAAACAAAACTGTATGTTCTACATGATGTGTTCATATGAGGATCCAGCAAAACAAAATGGTCTATCAGCTTATACACGAGAAATAAAAGGCCAGACAATCAAATATTTATACTACATGTTTAATTCCCCTGTGTTGCATGTTTATAATGAGTAAGGCAAGGCAAGCAAGTGTTTTACATGCTTAGAGTTGTACCAGCAAAACAATCATTTAATAATACTACAACATAATATAGGGCAAGTGAAATAAATATCAGTTTTACAAAATCCACTGTAGAGTAACCAGCAGGATTCTCTATCATTCCGGTAAGAAAACCTGGGTGATTAAATTTCACCAGGGTTTTATCTCGGCTATATTCATAGCCTGATTACATTCCAGAGATTTTCAACATCCTTGAAATATTTTCCATAAAATAGATAATATCAGTATGAAATAAGATGTAGAAAGCAGTTCAGCTTGAAATATTATTAATAGGGTTGCCAGATTTTGTAAAGGTCCTGCAACGCAAACTGTCGATCCCTGTAATATAAATTGAAGACTCTGTACAAACATGCGACAGGAATGACAGTTGTGTTCTTCCACCGAGGATTGAACCAGCAAACTCAATTTCCCCCGTTCAACTTGAGCTAAAAAGAAATTCCTTCTAGCGTTGATCAAGGAGAGGACCACGAAGATGACTGTAATCCTATGTACATTTAAAGTCTGCCAAAAATGTATGCCAGTACTAGGTGGCTGCAATGTAATAGTGGTTAATTAAGTCATTCACCCCTGAAGTTTCATAATGAACTATTCCAACCTTTGTATTGGAAGAGTTCAAATGTGTCTTCAGGTGTGAATGAGTTAAGGCGTCGGACTATGATCACTAACCCTCCACCACTGGGTCACAGGTTGAAACCTACGTGGGCCAGTTGCCAGGTACTGTCCGCAGGTCGGTGTTTTTTCTCCAAGTACTCCAGTTTTCCTCTATCAGCAAAACCTAGCTGCCTTGTCCTTAAATGATCATAGCTGTTAATAGGATGTAACACACAAACAACCCACATGTCAGTACCAGTCTTGTTCCTGTTCACTAGTAAATGCCTGTCCTGTTAGACACAACATGTTGGCCTCCAGATATAAAGGCACTATGTATACATATGCACCAGTACCAACTTATACTATTATACCCTGCTGTTTCTGGTCTCTATCTGTACATTATCATAATTACAGATCATGTTTTTATGGTGGATGGTACTGCTAACAAGACACCTTCATAACTAGTTGGTGTTGTATACCGTCTATAGACCCTGTAGTATCAAATTGGCTGTATTGGATTAGGTGAGGTCACCAGGGATTGGGAAAATCATTCTTTTCGGCATGGCCAATTCATTTGTTTATCCACTATATATAAAAATCGTGAAATTTTCTAATTATATTTCTTAAATTTCTTAGAATATCTTTCAAGATTGGATAAATATCACTGTGCATGGAACCTTTTGTCTTAATGTTTAACTTTGAAAACTATTAGCTGTAAGTTTTGTACTAAATGGTTACTTACCGTATCTCAAATTATGATATTGTCACCCCTCACTTCTTTTTCTAATGCAATGTTTACAGTATTTAAAGTTTTATATTTTGTAAGAATTTAACAAAAAAACTGGATACCAGCAGCATAAATGACATCAATAGGTTTGCATGGAGACCATGTATGCTATCAAAATAATGAAAGTGCCAAGCCTTTTACTGTTCCCCACTAGCTGCAACACTGATTTCCTTAACTGTATGATAGAAGTAATTTATCATTGCTTATATGTAAATTATTCTGAAAATGAAATTTATTCATTAGACTATGGAGTAAAAAGTAATAAGGTTTTTCCTCACGATGAGTGCATGAGAATCCTGTTACAAGCACAAGACAGATAAGCTATATGTATACCTAGACTGTCCCAGTTAAATCTTCCGATGTCATGGTGAGCGGTTTGAAGTAGAATAAACATGAAGTAATTTACGATAAATTTTGATGAGAGTAATTCCCTTTTCAACTTCCTTATGATAATTAAAACTCCTGTGAGGTGATATTTTTGTAATTTCTGGACAATGAGAAGGCACTTGTTAATCACTGATCAACCTTTTCACCCATTCTAACCCCTAAAACCGCATTTTAATCTTACCATATCAAAGACTGGACAAGTCCATTTTAAATATGTAGGGGTGAATGAGTTAGGTTGTGTGCCATCTCTTCCAAATGCAGGCATTTGGTTGTTATTTTCCTCTCTAGTTTATGTAAGATTTCCTCAATAATAAACAGCAAATCTCATCAATACCCAGAAAATGTCACACTTTCACTATAAGGGGAGATTACTCCTGCATCCTTATTTGAGTCATGGTTGTGTGAAATCCTTTAAGTATAAAAAGAAAATTATAGTCCAAAGGTAAAAAAATAATCTTATTTTTGTTTGTTTGGCCAATCATTTAAGTACTTGGGTTTAGTTGCAATCCTTATACTTATTAATTAATTTGATAATATAATTTCAATATTTATGTAAACTGTAATAACCATCAGGTTCGTTTTTCAAAGTTCCCTGATGATAATTAGCATTCATTTGATCCCATAAAAAATCTGTACATTTTAGCTTCCCCATTAATGGACTGTCCTCTGTAATTTGTCAGTGTACTCTGTTCTCCAGTCATTTATAGCCATTTGATGCCACCCAGATGTTGCCTATTAGAGAGGAAGATAATCTGTGTTGGTGACAAAGGTTATATGTGTTACAGAGACTTAGGCGTGTCGATAGGGACTACCTATATTAGGAACTCTTGGTTACTTCATTATTGTGTTTTATATGTTAGGCTTGACAGAAAATCTTGACTGGACCTTTATGTGGATTCGACACCTTATAGTCGAAGGTGCTTCATATTTGATTCCAGTATTGATTGCACTGATTTGGACTGACAGTTATGGCTATCAGTAGACTAACAGTCCTGACTATTTGTGGACTGCCTGTCTTAACTATCAATGGACTGCCTGTCTTAACTATCAATGGACTGACAGTTATGGCTATCAGTAGACTAACAGTCCTGACTATTTGTGGACTGCCTGTCTTAACTATCAATGGACTGCCTGTCTTAACTATCAATGGACTGACAGTTATGGCTATCAGTAGACTAACAGTCCTGACTATTTGTGGACTGCCTGTCTTAACTATCAATGGACTGCCTGTCTTAACTATCAATGGACTGACAGTTATGGCTATCAGTAGACTAACAGTCCTGACTATTTGTGGACTGCCTGTCTTAACTATCAATGGACTGCCTGTCTTAACTATCAATGGACTACCAGTTTTGACTATCAATGGACTGGATAGTCGGGTGGTGTAGTGGGTAGCGCACTTGCGTTTCATCAAGGCGGCCGTGTTCGATTCCCCATTCAGACATGAGGAGGTATGGGTCATCTGCCTGACCATGCTGGGTTTTCTTGGGGTACTCCAGTTTCCTCCAACATTAAGACCCCCCCCGCACTAACATCCAGGTCAACAAGAATAAATAATATCAGTTGTAAAAACTTAGTTCATAATTGTTGTAAAATAAATAAAGTTTATGTGTGATAGATAGATATTGATAGATGGTCTATGGACTGAAAATCTTGTACAGTCAGCACTCACATGAATTGATTCCTATCCTTTATTGCTTGATGCAGTATCTGTTGGATGATCAATATTCAATTAGTATTAATAATTACGTGTCAAAGAGTTAAGTCAATATTTGGAGTCGATAAATTGCAATAGACAAGACAATATGTCGAGTTCATTATAATAGTAAATAGTGTCACCACTGGTAACATACCTTGGTCTATAAATCTTGATTTAATAAGTTCATGTTATAGATATAGGATGTCAACTTTATTCAGGAGTCTTGAGTCAATATTCCACAGGTTAATTTTGTTCAGTCCAGTCCAGCTTTTCTAGACTGCCATATTTCACACACACCCGTTCACCACAGGAATGCCTGCCTCACTTGTCAACATTTCTATACACAAAAGGCAACTTACATTGTATAACCCAATATCCATTATCAAAAAGTGATGAAATACTATAGAAAAATACCTTGATGAAATTTCAGTAGTGAGATGACCAATATTCATTTATACTGGTTACATTTCCTTGTTCTAAACATTTTAATTTTATCAAATTTTGTGAAAATGAATCGAAACTTTAAAATAAAAGCATGAATTTGAACGATACACCAAGTGGTTATAGGCGTCTGACATCCTGCTACCACTAGCCATCCACCGCTGGGTCGCGGGTTCGTGACATACGTGGGGCAGTCGGCCCTAGGTACTGGTCGTATGTCGATGGTTCATATATCCGGGAACTCCGGCTTTTCCTCCATCACCAAAACCCTGGCTCATCATTAAATGACCATAGCTGTTGACAGGACGTAAAACACAAACAAACAAACACAAATCGAACTAATTTGATTGGAGTATCAATGGCATTTATCTTAATTGTCTCACCCTAGCAACGCCACCTGTACAAATCTTTATTGATTAGGATTGACACCAGCACAGCTGTCATTGTACATGTGTGGGCTGCAACAATCACCAAACCAGACCTATATTTACTCAAGCAGATACAAAGACTGTTTAAAAATTCATTTGTCTATTATTGTTGTGACAGGTGGATTATTGACTGTTCTGAAACAGACTATAAATAGTTGTAAAATATACAGTAGATAACAGTGGATTATAGTCATTTTCCAAGTACTGGATGCTTCTTTTTGAAGATCTGTCTATACAAATTACATTTATAAAAAAAAAATGTTTTTTTGTATATATATATTTGACATAATCATGACAGCAGAATATTAAATGGGTGGAAAAACATGAATTAATAGAAAAAATATTTATTAAATGGAGGCTACTTTTCATCTATCCCTTTTCATTTTAGGAATAATGACTGATAAAAAATGTATAATTAAAGAATAAATTGTTTGACTGGTCTAGTTTTAGTCAATACATATTTTTATAGGAACACTGACTACGGAAAATGAGTAGTTGATGAATAATATGTGTTCTTGCAGTTGAAGCCTATTAACTTGAAGATATAAAAGTTTAAAAATAAATTTTCTTTCATTCTTTAAACCAAATTAAGAAAAACAATTCTTTTGTAAAATTTCATAGTTAAGCCCCCATATGAAAAATTCCCTGAGCAATAACATGGACATTTTATAGAAGGCTACATAAAGCTCCCTGTTTATACAGCTCCTACCCTCTTTAGACCCTCAAAAGAGTGATATATACATTGTATCACCTTTAACATTCATCCCTGGAGTATTTTTGCTGGATCTTCAAGAATTTTTGGTCATTGGTCAAGAGTGGTAAAGGCTGAGCTGGGTGACTGTCAGTAACCAGTTAGCTCAACTGGTGTGTGTCCATTTAGAGTATGGAGCCCTGGGTTCGAATCCATACCTGGCTCTGTTGTATCTTGTAACCAACCCCTGTTTCATGTTGTGTATTTTCTCAAGGGGATACCCAAACCTAAATTGTAAATAGTGTTGTCATCGGGGGCAAAGACTTACAAAAACAGAAATGTGTGTAGCAAGAATAGGTCAGGTGACTGCTGGTGACCAGGTAGATCAGTTAGTTAAAACACCCATCTGTAGTACATAGGTCCCGAGTTCAAACTCTGGTCTGGCCACATTGCATTTTCCCTCTCCACACAAGACCAGTGAGTGGAGCCGTCATACTCAATTATATCAAAGTTTTACTTTATCTACATACAATGTACATACTAAACATGTCGCAATGTTTCAAAACTGACTGGTCTCATTGTCAAGCTATGACTGACATCATTCTGGAATCTTAAATAGATTTTATTTTATTTTAGGTCCTTAAATTAATAGTAAATAACAACTCATGGGTTGCAAGCATTCAAAGATGTCGAGATGAGGGCTTAACTCATTCACCCCTACATATTTATAAATTGGACTTGCCCTGTCTATGATTTGGTATGGTTCAAATGTAACTTTAGGGGTGAATAGGTTAATGATGTCCTGAGACCTCGGAGGCTCAGAAACACCTCAGAAATTCAATGATTTACACAAGAAATTTAGATACTAGGGTCATAATACCGCTTCAGTCTTCTGATGAAGTAAAAGCCATAATAATTAAAACTAGATGTTGAGGTCAAGCCTCATCCCTCTTACAAAGTATACATGCAAACATTATTAATAATTAACACTAGTATCAATAATGACTGTGTCCATCTTCAGAGGGCTTGGGTGTTTCGTACATGCAAGCATTATTATTAATAATGATTGCGTACATCTTTAAAAGGCTTGGGGGTTTATTGCGCCTCTACTATCAATAATTCTTGCATACATCACCAATGGTGTTGAGGATTTCAGAGACCCTGGAGTATATAGGTTTGCACGTGTTCATATACCATAGAGTTGAAGATTCGCTGCATGAGCCCCTGCAGAAACCATCATGAATACACACTAACATAAACAATGGTGTATAGTATTCCATACGGTGGTAAGCTATTCTACACACAGGCAGGTCATGTGACTAGCAGAGTGTATACAGTACAACAGCAATGTTTCACTACCACAGAACTCCTTCACATTACCTGTAGGATTGTCAAATGTGCCGACCTACCTTCAGCAGCCTAAACTGACCCATCAGGGACTCCGTCTGGCCCCTAGGGACCCAGTTTTGACCACAGAAGTCTTAATGTGGAATCTGTGTGGATAATTGTGTAAACAGAAATCATGTTCAGGCGGAAAAAGAAACAGGTGCCTTTGACAGGTGTAAATGGGACTAACAATACTGTAGTGAATGGAAAGGTATGTCAATTGTTAAATTTATATGTCATAATGTCACCCTTATCAAATTTCTTTTTTTTTATTTCTCGCCTTTCAGCATTCCTATGCTCGACCTGCTGGTCAATTTAGCAGCGTCCAGTCGACTGAATCCGTCGGGGTTTACCATCGTCCTGCTGTCGGAAGAAACGGGCAAAGCCAAAGATTACAAACCTAATCAAACTATTGGATCTTTATGTGTTAAAAGCAGTGAAAGTTCTAATCGTGGAAAACGTGCTACTCTTGAGTTAAAGTCCAAAAAGTTGGATAAAAAATCATCAGCTAAACAGAGTCAACCTTTCGAGGTAAGGTATCTTTTGACAAACCTGTAATATCGTTACCTCTGGTCACTCTTATGGTCTAAGTTATATTTACTGGGGTCAGATTTAACAAAGAGTGACTAGTGAGAGTAGTACTACAATGCCTCGACATGGTGTATTAGAAATGGGTGCAGGTATACCTTGTACAGGTAAATGTGTACTTAACAAATGTATTATAATATATTATAATGTAGAATAACATAATTACACCTAACGAAATACCTGTCACCTTATCACAATGTCCAACAGGTAGGATATAAATAATGTATAATTGATGTGGAATTTACGTTACAGTTTGTCAGTTTTAATTTAGACACTTTGTCTTCTAACTGAATTTTTATTTTGCGGTGTGTCGGAGATTGATCATTTGTGTAGACATGAATTTTTCCTGATGTGTATAATTAATGATCTTTGTCCGTAATGTTATATATACTGGGCTAAACCTTACAACACTAAACGGTCCACATGTATATAGAGGCCTACATGTTCGACTCACTGTCTCTGACCTTAAAGGAAGGATGTATGAAAGGGCCGGTTTCCAAAACGGCCCCTTCTCTGATTCAAATTTCCTGTTGGTGGTGCATTGCCCATGCCGTTGTGGTCACAAATCTATAAAGTATAAAGATTTAGGTCACTTGGTTTGTTTTTTATGGCTCCTCAAAGTTGTACCTTTCAGAAGCTGTCTAAGTGTTGATAAAATGTGCATGTTATGTAAAATATTAATGAAAATCTAATCAAATGATGGTCACCGTAAAGAATACATTCATGGCATGATTGTGACAAAAAATCATGTTTCCATCGCGCCATTTGGCTGTTTTATGGAAGAAACAATCTCAAAAATGCCATTTTCGATGATAACATTTTAGACACAAAAACTGTGTTTTTTAGAGAATACACCCTTTTATGGGCGTTGGATGCAAACCAATTTTTATCCTATTAAACAGTACGTAATATGCTATTGATGAGAGGAAAAATCATCAAAATGTAAGTGGTGGAACATTTTCAAATGTTGGGTTGAATTAGCCTATGGTTGAATTGCCGATTTTCGACTTTCTTTAGATAATTAACAAAAAAACGAGAGTATTTGCTCGGTATGTTGAGAATATGTACACAGATATGAAAAAAAGTGAGAGAAACACTTTTTCATAAAAAAAATCCAAGATGGCTACTTCACAAGTCCCCGTGGTTGAAGACATTGGCTGACAAATAGACAGAACAACAAACAAAACGTGTTCCTTATGATTTTGGTTGGTTTTCGCATTTACGGGAGTGTTCATAGCTACGGGCGATTGTATAATACCTATATTTATAAGTTTGGTTAGTCACATGGTAACGGGGATCTTTCATATCGAGCCCCAAACATACTTTCGACATATGCACTCCGTTGCCGCATGGAAAACTATTTCAAGTTTTGTCGGAATTTCTTTACCTGTGGTTGTAATGGTCGAGGGTTTTCCAGCGTCCTGTAATACCCAAGGTAGTACAAGATACTGGAGATGTGCGCACACATTCCCATCGTTCTCTCTCCAACTGGGCACTGGCAGTAGTAGTCCTTTATTGGGGCCTCAACATCGGGTGAAACGGTGAACCGTATCCAAACGTTATATTTCGTTTGGCTTTTGTGTCGAGAATGTATTTGACATCGGAGAAGGTCTGGGGAGTGCTGGTAAAGCCACACCTCATAGTCTCCGTCATCACTTAAATGTTCGGCGATGTAACCAGGAGCCAGAGATATCTGATACGTTCCACACGTAATGGTTCTCAAGTAATCAAGATCGAGACGGGGAAACAGTACGGAAGATGCATCCATCTTGACAAACTCGGACCTTGCCCGTCTAGATAGATCCGGATCTGTCTTGACTCTCTGAGCTAAACCATTCGGTGTTGTCAAACGGTCCTTCATACGTTCAGCCATTAGCCTATCTTTGGCATCTCTCTCTGGAGATCTCTGGTAGATCGGTCCTCTAATACCATTCAGACAGGCTGTGACGGTTCGAAGCAAAGCCTCGATGACATTGATAAAGCTGTTAGACACCAATTGCGTTCGGAAGAACGTCCAGTGTTTCAGACGACCATGATAGGATTCCACAATCCACCTCGATTTGGTGATAGTTCTGTCAAGATTTGCTTGGACGTCAGAATGTTGACTTTGACCGGGTTTCAGGTATGACGGCATGCTAGCATTGAGGCCAGAGGCTTCGAGAACTGGTAGGACATCTCTAAAACCTCGGTCAACGACAACGTTGTCGTCTGGTTGTAGCCAAGTAACTAGCTTGTCCATGACTTTTTTTGTAATTGTAGCATCATTTTCGCTGCCAGTGAATGGTCCTACTGTGTCCAGAATGTAGCCATCTGGTAAGGCGATGCTCATGAATTTGAGATAGTTTCTCTTCTTCTGGCCACAGTAGGACATTCTCTGGAGCTTGTGGTCGGAGCTTTTCTGGATATAAATATAGGTGCCATCTAATATGGCAGTGGCTTTATCTCCAAAAAATGCTTCTGAAAAGACAGTATTGTGCCCGAGCAACTGTTCTCTTGTCAAGTGATCCGGACCTAGAAATTGTGGGACTATCGATGTGTCTAATGCCTGTACTATGGAGTGGAAAGTTTTGGACACACTTGACTTGGAAATTCCAAAAAGAGAAGAACACTGACTCCAGGAAATGTCGGTTTTCAGTTTTACCCAGAACAGTAATAGAGCATCGTGTGTAGTCTTGGTATATATACCAGATGAAAGATATGGGGAACAGTGCGAGTGGATTTCGAGGAACTGATCTTTGGACCAACCTGTCCAGGCCATGCATGCCGAGTCATCAAGAGAAGAAAAGCTTATTGTAAACGCAGACTGGTTCTGTGAAAGGACGTGCGACACCTCTAGGAGGTCATTAATGATTTCGGACGATTTTGATGGTAACTGAGATTCCAAGGAACCTCTACCATCAAGGACAACCTCTGTAGACGGATCTAAGTCGTTACCAATAAGGTGAATGGAGCAGACGCGGGATGAGGTGGGACACCACAGTTTGTGTGAATAGATCAGGTGATGTCTTGCACGTTTTGGTAAGACTGATGATTTTGTTCCATTTCTTGCAAAGGTAACAAGACAGAGACAGCATTTTTTGTGTGAAGATGATCCATTCAAAAGATCATGAAGGGTCAGCAACGGCAGGATATGGGACGGGGAGTCGTCTTCTTCCTCTATTTCCTGGTTCTGCTCGGGTTCAGGTTCAGGCTGATTTTTGTTCCGAAGATACTTCATGTAGCACTTCTGGCAAATAAGTGCTTGTTCCTTTGCTGACATCAATCCTTGTTGCACCAGCGTATCTAGGAGCCATTTATATTGTGGACTATTTACATTGCGTGCACTTCTGTTCTTATTGCCACTACGTTTCTTGAAGTATACTTGACACCCTTCTCCAACACATTTACCCTCCATCTTGAAACAATAACGATTGGTTTATGAAGCGTCGATAAAGTAACAAAATAGCAAGCCACCGATGATTGCTGTAAACAGCTAATACTTAGTAGTTTGGTACAATTATGCGAAAATGTGTGATAAATAACGAACAACTAATTACACAAAATAACAAGACAATATAATAAATCACATTCAATACCTCCAAGAAGCGCAGAATTGATTGATTACTTAGAACAAAATAAAGTATTTCATATGGATAATCTATCTATTCGATGTGGCGTGGTCGGCAGGCACAAAGAAAGTGAGACAAGTCAGGGTCCCAACCCTGACAGAGCCACAACGCTTTGGAGATGGGACAATAAAACAAGGAAAGTGAGACAAGAATAGCTAGCGTCGAGTCAATGATTCCGTAAACGTATAGACAAAGACAAGAAGATACGGATAAATGTACAAGGCCACACGATCAGAAAATTCAGAAGAGGACAACTTGAGATAGAACAGTATTCATGTATCAGGGTGTCCTCAGTGTAAATCTTTATATCGATACTGTTTATTTAGTCGTTACACATCATAAAACTGTCATGAAAATATCCGCTCTGATATTCAATATAAAAGTTTGTATATAATAAGCTATATAATAGGGTTTCAGACAAGGTTGTTACTCATTTCCCCTTTTCTTTCAATTTACAACCACATTCAGGCGGCGATATGAGAACGTTCCACCACATGGAATTAGCTGATTTTTGGTACACATATGAAACAAGTAAAGCTCTATCCGATTTTCTGATGGAAATTTGCATCCAAAACTATATAACGGGAGAAAATTGCAATTTTATGGCATTTTTCTTCATAATTGTGTCTCTGCAAGTGCATTTTCATCCGAGA